TGAATTTTAGAACTGGAAGGACCACAAGTTCTGCTTTACAAAGTGAGGCTATTAAAACAAATGATGGAAGCTGAGGGTGTAGCACAATGGTCAAGTGCCTGCCTCGTCTGCTTAAAGCACTGGGTTTAATTCATGCCTAGCTTTTTTTTTTTTTTTTGCAATGCTGGGGATTAAACCCAGTGCTTTAAGCATTGCAAAAAAAAAAAAAAAAAAAAAAAAAGCCAGGCATGGTGGTTCACACTAATAATCTCAGCACTCAGGAGGTTGAGCAGGAGGATTGCAGATTCAAGGCCAGTCTGGACTAAAACAGTGAGTTTGAGGATACCATAGTGAGACCTTATCTTGAAAACTATATAAAACAAACAAATGAATCAACAACACAAAGGATGGTCTATGGCCAAGAAGAAATTCGGGAAACCCAAGTCCACCTTAGTGGGTAGGACATAGCCAAGATTCAAACAGAGCCTTGGACAACTTCAGAATTCTTTCTGTTGCATATTGTTATTTGTACATGAACAACAGCAACGTGAAGGACAGCTCTGGATAACTTCAGCTGGACATAGGGAGAACTGGCTTACTTGTCTACACCATTTCAGTCAGTCACTTTTGCTTTGGTCCTATTTCTGAATTGTTGGACCATTTTTCTGGAAGGTTTCATGGCAAGGAAGGTAAATAATGCTAGCGAAGACAGGAAGATAACTGTATTCTATTTTCCCCTTCATACTTAAACTAATTTGTTTTGGTCCTAGAGTGACCTAGAAGGGAATTCATTGTAAAGACATTGGCATATTTTATGGAATCCCAAAACACATGGCATGACCAGGCTTTGGGAACCTTAGCATTTCTGGGATCTTCAGTGGTGAAGCTAAAGGATTTTTCCAGTAGAATCTCACTGGTTCACAAGAGCTCTGGGCTCAAGCCCACAGTCTCTAGGTTTCTCTGCTCCTTGGTCCTGGTGAGTTTGCCTGGTTCATGTTCATGTTGACTTTCTTTGCTTGGGCTCATGTCCTCAAGGTTAGAGCAGTTAGAGCCTGGAAACAGCAAACAGCAAATATTGACCAAGTGAATGAAATTCCACAACTCCCTGGAGATGGTACCTGGTTGGCTCTGCCTGGGGCAGGTTTCAGTTCCTATTTAAATAACTGTAGCAGGAGGTGGGATCCTGCATCTGGGCCCAAAGAAGAAAGACTGTGGGGTGGGGCTGATGACACAAAAGTGAGTTATTTATGCTTGTCTTTAAGAGACTGACAATCAATCAACAGTTCTGAAGAGATGACATTTGAAACAAAGAAAGACGACTGTTTAAAGTTTGCTCTCTTCCTATGTACTACATCTAAACTTGGAATTCCAATTACCAAACTAAAGTGAGTTAAGATGTCGTCTATTGTAGGATGAGCCATTTCTTTGTGCATCATTAACACAGAAAGCTTTGCAAGAAGTGGAGTCTAATAGGAAACCTGGACATAAAGCTTGGGCATCAAATGTCTGCTCCTTTTATGAAAGGCTCCATGAGACCCACCATGTCAAAAAATGTATGACTGTCTTGATTGTAGCACTTGGAGAAAAAACAAACCCCAAGCCCAACCTCCTGCAGTCTTACTGATGGATTCACATGAAGAGTGTGGCCTGAATAATCTCAAATAGAAACAAACCTAAATCCTCCCCAGCTGAACTGGAGCAGCGATTGTGAAAGCACCTTATTTTAGCAATGCCAGTATGCAAACATGTCTGTTTTACCATCAGTGAAATTAACAATGTCCTGAGTTGGGTACCTTGGGGGAATTCATTTACTTTTCCTATTTCCTAGAGTCATAGGTAATCACAGAACAGTAGTGTTTTAGGAAGGCTTTGAGAGGGCTGGGAAATATAGCTAGGCCATTAAAAATACATGTAATTCAGAAATAATGTAATTTCTTGTTACATCAGTAATGATTTAATCTCCTGGAACTGAGTTCATGGAAAGACTACAGGATTTATAATTCTTGCATTCCAAATTATAATTTTATAAATCAGCCTCAAGATAACCCAGGAACAAAGCCATACTCATAAACCAGCTTTAGCTGTTTCCCCCTTTTTTTTGAATTTGTGTCTGTTTATTACTTCATTCCTGTTTTCAAAAATTTGCTTGCAGTTGTGGAAGGAATTTGTAGATGTTTGCTCAGAAGTTGAGTAAGCCTTGGAATTTTAAAGCTCCTTATTTGCATACATGAAATTACCATAAGAGCAGCACTCTTGTCTTCCTTTCCCTTCTTTCTTTGAATTGTTTTTGGTGGTGCTGGGATTTGAGCTCAGAGTCTTATGCTCGCTAAGCAAGCACTGTACCAATGGAGCCATGCCTCCAGCCCCTTTTGTTTTAGGTTATTTTTCAGAGTTTTGCTCAGGCCAACTTCAGACTGCAGTCTGCATAACTAGAATTACAAGCATTCACCAACCATGCCTGGCTGGTTTGTTGAGATGGGTTTTCACTACCTTCTTGACTTTCTTTTAGGGTGACCTTGAACTGAGGCCCTCCTGATCTTGCTTTCTGAGTAGCTGGGGTGATGGTGTGAACCATTATGCCCAGATCTGAATTTGTTTTAATAAATAAAATGAACATCATTGAAATACCAAGAGTAATTATTTCTGCTTGATTTTGTATTATTTTATTTTTCCTCTTTCTATGTAATTTCCATTTTCAAAGATTTCCACTATGAACACATGCTTCATCGATTTAACTTTTAGTGAGAGGTACATAAATTACAAAATAGAAACCAGAGTTTATACTAAAAAGCTTTCATTTTTAATTGTCTAAAAATAATTCTTCCCATATCACAATTTCTTTATTGATTCTGGACCTTCTCTCTTCAGAGGATTTAGCTCGCTTATATCACCCTCTGCTGTTCTTCCTTTCTCTCCAGTGTTGAGAGTTATATTATTATTGGTTTTGTGACATGACACAGTCTGCCTAAATCTCATCTCTTATTCCATGGGGTTTCCAGGTCATCACTTGACTCCCCACTGTGCTTTTCTGAATCTCTTCTTCCTCATTTTGGTTTTAAATTGTTATGGGCAATAAAAATTTACATTTCATTTCCATTACTATAATTAAGATGTCTGAGTTTTATCTCTATGCTGATTATGAATTCTGAGCAAATAATACAAAGCATTAAAATATATCACAGCATAACTAGTACTCAACTCAGAGCCAAACAGTGGCTCTCTAGTTCTGGTGGTCTGACCCTTATGCCCTTGACGGAGGGTTTCCCCTAAATTTCTAATGAAGTATTCTTCTCTCATTCTTCCAGTTACTGAAAATTATGCCACACTTGACTTCGTCTTATATTTGGACCATGATTTTTATTTTGTTTGTATTTATTTTCTTGTGGTACTGGGGATTGGACCCAAGGCTTTGTACTTACCCTACCACTTGAGCTGTGCTCCCAGACTTTTTTTGTATTTTATTTTTGAGGTAGAGTCTCAGCAACTTTACAACTGGCCTCGAGCTTGCAATGCCTTGCCCTCTACATTCCAAGGAGCTGGGATTATAGGACTATACCATCAGGCCTGGCTTCCATGATTTTTGTTATAATTCCTCATTTTGCCTATGTTTTCTGACTGCCTTTTCCTCCCTAGGAAAACAAGTATATGCCCCCTGAGCACATCCAAAGTGTTTTCCAGGTGTTACTCATCACTACATAGATTGCTTAGTAGCTAGCTTGTCCTCCTTAAAGAGCATCTTCTGTAGGTCTGTGGACTTCCTGTTCTAACCTGGAATGGATGCTTTGTAGACCTGGCACACAGCTAGCCTTGTGAGGTTCCTTTTCTGCCATTGTAAGCATCACATCGTCTTTCTTGGGTTTCATCCTGTGTGCTTGTCAGCTATGTCAGAGCAAGTGTAGGAGAGCTAGACTGTCTGAACTCTCGTTCATGACTGAGTCAATTTTGTCTTCACACTGCCGTGGTGTTTCCTAGGCCTGCCATAACAAAGCAGCACAAGTCATGTGGCTTAAGATAACATATTTACCGTCTCAGTTCTGGAGGTCAGAAGGCCAAAGTCAAGGCATTGACAAAATTGCTTCATTTTTCATTTGGGAGAAAAATACTTTTCTCCTAACCTTGAGTGGTTGCCAGCAGGTTTCAGTATCCCTTGGCTTATAGCTACATCAGTAGCTCTGCTGTCTGTCACCTGACATTCTCCTTCTGTGCCTTTGTGTCACCTTGTCTTCACACAGCCTTCTTATAAGTACAGCACTCTTTGGATGTAGAGCCTGCCTAATTCATAACCTCATTTTAACTTGATTCCTTCTGTACAGGTAAAGTTACATCAACAGGTACCACAGGTTAGGATTTCAGTTTATCTTTTGGGGGGGGTCACAATTCAATCCACAACCACAATGGATGTGTGGGCACAGAGCCTTAAGATCAACCTAATTCATCCTTAGAGTTCTGAGGACTGTGCTCCACTCTAGTTTAGATCACTTTTGCTGATGAGAAGTTGGACATCAGTTCAATTCTAGTTCTTTTGTTGGTGTTTTGTTTTTAAAATCTCCATCCTCAGTGTTCAGAAATTTCAACATGATATGGACGTTCAGTTTGAAGATTTGTGTTTCCCCCAAAAGTCCCCTTTTCTTATAACTAGAAAATGTTTAATATTCAAATATTGGTAAAATTCTTTTCTTTATTTTGTCTAGTCTCTATTTTTATTTTTAGAAATTTTATTAGCTTTTGTATCAGGCAGGGTTGGAAGAGGAAACACTGAGAATGATATAAGATCTGAGGCTTTTTATAGAGATTTGAGCATACATGGTATAGGATCTAGTAAGACAATCATGGTCTGGCCATTTTGTCTGTAGCTGGTGCTGAGCTGGCTGTTACGACACAGATGAGTGGCCGTGCAGTAGGGTGAGCAAGAAACTGGTGCCCCTGAGGAACAGCTGGAACCTCCGTCTGTCTTTCACTGGAATTTGTGATGGCCTCTCTCTGTTGCATGTCTCCAACCTTGCTGCTTGGATGACCCACAGGTGACACTGGTGCCCTTATTCCAGAGTTGCACTCATGCCTGGCTCAAGATTTGGAGAAGATGGAGGAAGACATCTTGTGGGAGCTGGAGCTGTGGCTCTGCAGCATTTTGTGCCCTCAGTGTGAATGAGCAGAACTCCTTCTTTCTTCTTCTCCTCCTTCTCCTCTTCCTCCTCCTCCTCCTGGTCTCTTTCTCTCTCTCTCTCAGGTCTCACTACATTGCCCAAGTGGGTTTCAAACTGATGGACTCAGGTGAATCTCCCACCTCAGCCTCCCTAGGGATGGGATTATGGCTATCAGAACACTTTCTTCTTCTTTTTTTTGGTGGTACTGGGATTTAAGCTCACGGTTTCATGCTTGCTAAGCAGGCACTCTACCACTTGAGTCACTCTACCAGCAGAACTCTTTCTTAAATTGCAGTTTATTGACTTTAAAATTAGAAAAAAGCCAATAAAAATAATTTACACGATATGAAGCAATCTTGTGAATTTCTATACACACATAGTATCTTGGTGTTAGCATGTAGATAGTTTTATTCCTTAAAATATGGTAATTCTTTCCTCAAATAAGTGTCAAAAACAACCAATGTCACAATAATCTTTTTCTTTCCTATAGAATGACACAGGATGAGAGAGCAGTAGGGTCCTGGTTAGAAAAAAAAAGGAAGGGGCACTAAGTATAATACCGTAAAATAAAAGTTTATTTTCTTTAGCTTTATGGTTCTCATCTGGGGACTATTTTCCTCTTAGGGGACATTAGAATTGTCTGATGACAGTTATAGTTGTCACAGCTGAGGATGTTCTTTGGCATCTGGGGGCAGAGGCAAGGGGTGACTGCTAAGGAATGCTATCATACACAGGAAGCCCCAGAACAAGGAATCATTCAGCCAAAAATACCAACAGTGTTGATATTAAGCATCTTTTCTCTTGAACACCAATGTGAGTTTGCTTAAAGACATTAAATTATATATCAAAAAATGGCCAAGATGGTAAATTTTATGTCATGTGTATTTTACCCCAATTTCATAAAAAACAAACAAACAAATACGGGTCCTTAATTGTTGAACAAATTTCTACTAACAAGCAGGCTTTATGCTATTTTCATTGAAATAAGAAAATTTTCCTCCTATGATCAGTTGGAGCTTAACTTTGTTGTTAAGATTGAAGTAAGTGATGGAATGAGAAGCAGAGTTCATGTGTGCAGCTCTCAAAGGACACCCAGTCAAGCTATGGTGCCAGGAATTTGCAAACAAAAGGCATAAACTAACTGTGGCTAATTTATACAATAGACAAAGTTTATTGGAAGGCAATGCAGTCCGTTACGAAATAAGGAAGAAAAGCCCTGTACTTATTCTGTGAGGTGGACAGGAACCAGGCTGCCATAGGGAGCCCATCTGGTGCAGGATTGGATAGGCAGGGTCATCAGAAGCCCCAGCCAGTGTGCATTAGTCTCCAGGGTTTTGGAGAGAGAGCATCTGGTAGGCCAAGCTCTGGTCCTGCACTCCCCTCTCAACCTGGACAGCATGTAGCATCTTTAGTGACAGCTTGTGAAGATTGTGCACAAAGTGGGAGACAGTTCTCTGTCCCAAGAGGCAGGGTGGAGGAATGCAAGGCAGATACAGCTCTGTGCTGTTCAAAGCAAAATGCAACAAGTAAACAACAAAAATGTGCTGAAATCACGGCTGCACTGCTACCTGTACTTAAAGGGTTTTTGAGTTCCTGTTCACACTTGTTACATATTTTGGATCATGGATTCACCCGTCATATTATTTGTCCCTAGAATGCCTCCCTGATGAATGTGGTAGTAAGTTGGAATTAATAGAATAGTGATCTGTTTGGGTAAAGAAAAAAAAGTCTTTAGGTAAAAATTTAAAAAAATGAATGCAACTCATCAGGGTATTGTAGGGAACATAATTTAAATCAGTAAGAAAGTAAATTTCAATTTCTTTTTTTTTTGGGGTGGTACTCGGGGTTGAACTCGGGATCTCATGCTTACTAGGCAGGTGGTCTGTCACTTGCACCACTTTGCCAGCCCTTTTTGCATTGGTTATTTTGAGATACGTCTTGCCTTAGCCCGTGGATGGCCAGGACAACAATCGTCCTTGTGCTTTCCTATGTAGCTGGGTGAGCACCCCTGTACCCAGTCACTGATTGAGATGGGGGTCTCATGAACTTTTTTGCCCCAGTTGGCATCAGACCACAATCCTTCTGATCTCTGCCTTCCTAGTAGCTAGGATTTCAGGGGTGAGCCACCACACTGGCCTCAGTTTTCTATTTTTTTTAAAAACATTTTTATTTGCATATGATAGTTATACAGGGGGCTTAGGTGTGACAATTCCGTATATACTCCAGTTTCTGTTTTATAGGGAGGACCACATGGGCATGAGTGTGAGGAGGGCAGAGAAGGGAGGAAGAAAGGAAAGCCTCTGCCAGCTGTGTATCTTGTCCCAGGGTTAAGCCCCTGCACAGGGAGTGCTTCACCCAGGGGAAGGTGTCAGTGAGTCACAGGGCATGGAACAAATAATGTGGGGATTTTTTTTGTCTTAGTCTTTGGTTTCTCTGTGTGCCGTATCTTCCCTTGCTGCTCTACTTGCTCCCAAGTGTAAGTAATTTCACTATGGAATACGAGTTTTACTGTTTGTGTATATATCGTTTACTGGCATCTAGCAGCTGCATGTTGCCTGAGGACAGTCATGGCTGAGTAAGAACCAGTCAGGCAGTAAGGAAGTTGGTCTTCATGGGGGAGATGTGCAGAAACCAACCCAGTACAAGGGAGGCTAAAGCAACTGCTAAGTGGAGTGTAAGACGCACGCTTGTTATGGTTTGGACTGACGCAGAACCAAAGAATGAATGGTGTTCTCCCTGAAGTTTCTAGCTCTTTCTTGAATCACTTCTCTTTCCTGTTAAGAAAGAAAATAAGTAAAAACTGAGATGGTATAAAGTGCATAAAAACCATTCTAAGACTATACAAACATAGGAAATGTCCCAATATGTATGAATGTCACTCAGTGTTATCTGCCTCACGCACAGATTTTCAAAATGAACTCCCAAAGGCTAAGAAACCAGCATTAACAGAGTGAGGGTCCTGGGGATCAGCTGTCTTTGCATCCTGTCTACTAGCTGTATGACCCTGAGTAAAATATCATTGAACTCCTCTTAGCATTGGACTACCCATCTGTAAAATGGGGAATGGTGATGTCTCATTGAATTGTTGGATTACATGAGTTAATTAATGCAAAGAGCTTGGTTTGTGTACTGTAAGTACTCAGTGCTGTTTGCTGTTGTGTTTTGAGACAAAATCTTGTCCTGTGGCCCAGGCTGGTCTTGAACTCATTATACTCCTACTTCAGCATCCCATTCCCAGCTTCCCAATGTATTTTTACCTATTGTTATTATTCTGAAAATAGCATTAGGAGTCTTGATTTCATGAGTTTAATCAAAGTTATATTTTTTGCTCATATATTTTTTTCTTGCAAGGATTGAACCCACTTGCTAGGCAAGTGTCACATTACTTTTTAGATTAATAAACTCCTAAAGTTATTGCCTACATAATTAAATCTTACTTCCATTTGCACAGAAGTTTCTTCTTTCCAACTTGGATTGGGGTGCCTGTTTGTCCAATATTTAAGGATTTAATGCACCAATCAGTTTTCTTCCCGTTCAGTTTATTGATTCTGCCTTAGATCTTCTTTATGTTCTAAAATAGTTGCAGAATGCCATGGAGCATTCTATGAGTTCTGCTGTTCTACATAAAGACAGGGGAGTATTTTCTGTTTTGGGATGATGACCTCGTCAACAATAGCCAATATCTTGTTGAGTCTTTTAGACAATAGCTCTTTACATTAGATCTTCTGGTCTAGTTACAAAGCATTTTCCAAAGTGTTTTCTCTGAAGTGTTACTTTATCAGATTTCAGTGGGCATTCCATAAAATGATTATAATTTGGGAACCACTGAGTTAAACGGTATGTGTTCAGCACTCTTTCCTATTTTATACATCTGAAATATAGTAGGATAGAGTAGGTATTTATTGAAGTTATTTTTCCTTAGTGCCATTTTTGGGAATTGTAGGACTAGTGTTCAAGGAGCAGTTTGGGAAATGCTGATTTATAGTCCATTCTAAGTCCAGCTGATTGCGGAAATCCATTTTCCATCTGTTCCTCTAGGGACAGTACTCTTATGTGAAGCACTTTCACTGCTCTTTCCATTACTCGAAGACTCTTCTGTGATGTTTCTGCAGCACATCCTTACCGTCCTTGTGCATGTGTGCGTGTGCGCACGTGAGCGTGCATGCGCGTGTGTACTCATCCTGATAGCTTGCTGGATAAATCTGACAGTAAGTGCCAAGTTAAAGACAAAATTCTATAGTCTCTTGTCCAGGTTGCTTTGGAAGGCTTACTAGGTGGCACCAGGCAGGGATATACCAGATATGATACATAAGATAGTGAACTCCTCCAGTCCTGAGCCCTGTGACTTTGGATAATTCACTTCACCTCTTTGAGCCTTCTCTTTCTTGTCTTTCTCCAGAGACATGGATTTTTAGCCTTGCCCTTGATTGATTTTTTCAACTACTACTTCTGACTGACTTCATCACACAAGTATGAATCAGCAAACTCCTAAAAACACTGCATTTGGAACTTGATTAAAACAAAATGTGTACAGTGGAACAGGAGCTATCCATTAGCTTCACGAACAGTAGTTATTAGCTGCTGTTCATGGTTAACCCCTCTCCTTACACAGATATAGAAGCAGGAAAAATTGGTCCCTTTTAATTACCAAAGCCACATCCTAGGGAGGCGGTGGCTATGGAAGGTGCCGTGCTGTCCCTTCAGTCTCTTCCTCCCTGGGGACTGACCGAAAGTATTTGAACCAAGCAAGGGGGGGCAGTGGGTGGCAGTTTGAAGGGAAGCTTGAAAATGTTTCATAATGTCACCATGTGATACTGTATCACTGAAGCTTAACATAAAACCAGTGTCACTTCACACTCATAGTACAAAATAGACTCATTAAATTTTGAGAATCTTAGGTCTAATCTTTCTCCACATTAGACTGTATTTTATTTTATGCTTTCTAGTGCTGGGGATTGAACTCAGGACCGCACACTTGCTAGGCAAGTGCTCTACTGAGCCATACCCCCAGCTCTCCTCCAGAGGCTCTCAGAATAAGTTCCACTGTGCATTTCCATGTAAATAACAGTTTCCTAGCCTCCGTTTCCTGAGTCTAGCATAGGAGTAAAATGTGAAATTCTCTTTATTGGAAACCATAAATATTACCGTATAGTTTCTGAATGCCGTTAATGTCATCCTGTGCGAGTTTGATGTCTTGTGACTCTGCAGTTCCGTAGGTTGGAAACATCACGGCGTCGGGGTCGGAGGAATGACCCAGACCCAGAGAGTGGCCAAGTTCATGAGTCGCAGCAAACAGGAAGTTAATTCCTACAACCAATGGAGTGACATCCAGAACTGTTAAAGTAACTATGCAAGTCCCTATAGCATACTAGGTAACATAATAATAATAAAATAATAGTACTAACAGTAATTATAAATAACTGTAAAAAGACCCACCTCTCAATCTTCCATAGTTTTACTTATTTGTTTCTGGGGTGGGGTTAGAAGGAGAATCAGAATAGTAGTGCTATTAATTCATCGCTGCTTCTGCTTATTAAAAATGTAAAGTTTTTCTGCTTATTCATTTATATAGTCACTCAGATAGCAACATTCTATACTGGAAAACAAAGCCCTTAGCAGCACTAAGACCTGGGCTTGACACATGGCTCTATTACTTACTGACTGGACAACTCTTGCAAGTTAATTTTTATTAAATAGAAGGTGCAATTCCAACCCTATAGATTTGTCATGATAATTAGACTTTCCCAATAATATTGAAAATAATGGCTATTCATGATTATGACTTTGAATATTAAGAACAGAAAGTCAGCTGTGAGAGAGCCAAGAATAAAAGGCAAGATCTCCAGGCATTGCTGGGTTTTGTTTTAGACTTTGATTCATACATTTGTATCAAATATATGTATTCAATATACATTTTAGACTCGTAGAAAGGAATGACGGAGGAAGTTTGAGCCTGTCCATTTGAAGAGTTGCCAGAGTTCCAACTGTGTGATGTTAGGTTGAAGGATGCAGCTTTTAACCCCTCTTGAGCGGGAAGAAGGAGAATGGAGAAGACATGTAAAGTGTGAAAGGAGGCAGGGTCACCATGTTACACAGGTTAGTCCATCCCATAGGTCAGGTTTTCACTACTTTGTTTGAAGCTATGATAAATTCCCTTTGCCAAACACAAATAGCAGTTTCTCTTTCAGGGCCAGTTAGGAGCCATTTTTAAAGAAAGATTAATCTTTTAAAGATTAATGACTCCTTTAAAGATTAATCTTTTAAAGATTAATGAGTCCTTTCAAGATTAACTGATATTTTAAAGAAAGATTAGAATTATTTATGCCAGAGCTCCGCTCTCTCAGTCCTCCAACCTGTCTGTAATCTTTCATCTTGTAACGTGATGAGTAGGATGGGTGGGTCATGAAGCTGGTTCTCAAGCAATAGCGAGCGTCCTGGAATTGCACACCATCCTTAAACATCATAATCTCTGCTGCTCTTTCCCCATTTGAGACACTTTACTTGTGGGAAATATGAAGAAGGAGCTATAATTTAGTGAATTATTAATATACTCCTAGCACTCTGCTAAACACCATATAAGCATCATCTTATCTAATTTAAAGAACGGCCTTTCAGGTGAGAACTATTCATATTCCCATCTTACAGCAGAAGCAACTGAGGCTCAGAGAAGTTGCCCAAGGACACACAGTAAGTCATGGGTAGAGACACAGCAAATTAAGTGCTACCTGACTCCATGGCCTGAGCTCTCATCTTTGCATATGCAAATTATAAATGTATTCCATGAGATAAGGCACCTAAAGCATACAGCTCAGTGGTTGGTAATGAAGGTTTCCATCATTATTTAAATTAAAGAACTGGTCAAATTAAAGTTAGTGCCCATCTGTGACTTTCAAAAGGATGTATAGTAGAAGAGACATGGGATTCTATACCTAGACTGCCCCCATCGGTCCAGTGTTCATCCTTGTCGAAGTGAGCATCTCCTCCCAGGCCTGGCCCAGGTGAAAAGGCATGAGCCAGGGTGTTTCCTGGACCATCAAATGGGTAGAAGTCCCCATGAGCTGCAAGAGGACGAGAGACTTCACTTAGTGACTGAATTTTAATCCGATCATTTTATTTTTTTAGTCTACATGTTTCTGGGGTTAGAAAAAGCAGCCCAGTCCAATTAGCTGGCATTGCTGGTACCAGATGTAGTTATATACGTAAAATGGTTTGGCTGCTTACCTGGTACCTTAGACCCACTACCCATCACTGATAACCACCAAATGTTGGCGGCTCATTGGACGCAGGACCTCAGCCACATCTATGTCTAACTTATGGCTGCAGTTAAGACTTTGCTTAGTCTGGTCGCCTTGCTACGTCAAATTGTGGTGGGAATGAGGTTGGGTGTGAGTATTACATTTGTGTTATTATTTCGTGCATTTTCTTAATAATCCAGCTTATCGTTTGTGTGTCTAGTTAGAGAGCCATGCTCAAGAGCTCTGAAAATGGAATGCAGAGCTATTTGTCTTCAGATTATATCAGAATTTATCCAGTCCACTCAGTTCCTGAAAAACTTGTAGTGCTGCTATTAGTGCTTCCCATAACATTTTCTTTAGGGTGGCTAACCTTGTGGGCTCAGGTTCAAGTTTCAGCTAAGTTCACAGCATATATGTACTGTAAACACATGAATACTGTGCATTTAATGTATGTATACATTACACACATGGGACTGGCAAATATTTTCTATGAAGGGTCAGATAACAAGCAATTTAAACTTTGTGGATGTGATGGGCTGAATCACAATCCAAGCCCATTTGGAATTGGTCATAAGAAAATACAAGACAATGGGTAAGTGAGAGAGCATGGTTGTGTTCCACGCAACTGTATTTACAAAAACACGCAGTGGGCTGCATTTGCCTCATGAGTCATAGTTTGCCAATTCCTGCTAGAAAAATTGTACGTAATATAGCTAAACATATATACGTGTGTATGTATAAAACATCTCTATAGCTCATCAAAGGGTTTTTTTATTTTGGTGGTGGTGCTCAGGTCCTCATGCACCTTAAGAACTTGCTGTACCACTGGACTGCATCTCTAGCCCTTTTTTCTCTTTCGGTGGTACTTGGGGTTGGACTCAAGGCTTCACACTTGCTAGGCAGGTGCTCTGCCACTTGAGGCGGGTCTCCAGCCCAAGATCTCTAGCAACAGGATTACAGCTTGAAAAGAGGAGAGCACGGGCATGAACAACAGACACATAAACTAGCACACCGAGTTAGCCTGCAGGAATCCCCCTCACCTCCTCTGGCAAAGCCGATCATGATATCAGCGGTTCCCGACCTAACTCGCTTGAAGTCCAGCGGAATCTGCTCCCTCCACATGCTTAAAGCCTTCTCCACTATTTGATCCACTGTGACACGTGGCAGGTCTGAAGTATATGATACGATCCTAGGGGCAAACAAGAACAAATGTTTGCCCTCTTAGGAAAAGGGCTTTATTGCTTTCGTCAAATGAGCCAAAGTGAAACTAACCTGTAGGTGACGACTTTGGAAGTCCACTTCGGCCTGTTGGGGAACAGCGAGAATTCTGCGACATCTGGCACTCCACACCTGGGCTTCTGCATGACCTCTATGATGTGGGAGTTTAGCTTTCCGGTCACGGGCAAGCCAAAGAACCTCTGCATCTGCTTGAGCTTGGCTTCTAAGCTGTTGGCACCCTTTGCTTTTGAGTCATGTAAATAAAATCTCTTGAGATAGTCCTGTTGAAAAGAGAGTAATTAACCAGTCGTTCTCCTTTCTGTCTTCTTTCACTCAGAGATCTGCACCTTTTACCTCTGGTTCTCGTGGATTCAGCAGTGATTTGAAGACAGAGAAGTTGTGTAGTCAGTAAGTAAAATTAGCATATACTAGTGGGAGAAAGTTGAATATTAATAATATAATAATATTGATACAATAATATAATATTAATAAATAATAAAAAAACATTATATTAACAGTATTGCGTTATGCTAGTATTATTATATTAATATAATATTGGTAATATTGAACTGCCTTGCCAGTTCATGAACTGAAAAGTCCCTCAGCTTCTCTTTGCTCTTGTTAAATGTTTTGAAAAGAAACACACCACATACTTTTAAAGCTTAGGCTTGTTTCTAGAATGGTCAGGAAGTGTCCCAGTGAGGCCTCAAGAGGTACATCCAGAACCCCTCTGCATCGTAGACCCAGGTCCACCAGCCTGTCTAAGATCCTACTGAGATCTGGTCCCATCTGCAGTTTAAAGGATCTTAACATTTCAGTTTGGGAGAGGATACTAGTTTGAACTGATTGTCTAGGTGAAGAACCCCAAACTCAGCATCCAAATGATTTTCCTAGGCTCACACGTAAGTGGGTAGCAGACCTGAATGTCCTGACTGCAATTCCTTCTTTCCACTGTTACATTCCTTGCAAAACCCACCCGGGGAGGTGGCAGGGTACAGCAGGCTTTCCAGATCTCTTCCAGGTACAGTTGTGTCCCTGGGAATTTTTTAAAGTTTCCTAACATGTGGGAATTGGAATGGGAATCCATTGGCCAGAATGAAAACAAACTAAAGGAACAACCACGGTAGCAAAGTCACAGGAACATTTAAGGCACTGACTCATGTCGATTTTAAACCTGATCACCACCTTATGAAGCAAGTTTGGCATTGCTATCTCCATTGTATATGAGGAGTCATGGTTCAGAGAAGTCAAGAACCTGCAGAAGGTCACTCTGAGGCTGCCTGTGATCTGATTCTAAAGTCATTTCATTAGAAAAATATATAAGTTTTGGGAGGCAGAGATAGGAGGACTGGGAGTTCAAAACCAGCCTGGACTACATAGCAAGTTCAAGACCAGCCTGAGTTACATGGTGAGACCTTGCCTCGAAACACTAAAACCATTAGGCATGGTGGCTCACACCTATAATCCCAGTACTCTGGAAGCTGAGACACGAGGATAGAAAATTCAAGAACAGCTTGGTCTATGTTGTAGTAAGAACTTGTCTCAAAACACCAAAGCAAAACAACAAAGAAACAAACAAAAGAATAAGAAAAATAAATAGATAGGCTTATACATGATAATACATGATATCCATGATTATACATGATAATACATGATAGTATTATTGTTGAAAGATTCAAAATAGTATTGGACTGTATGGTAATGGTTACTAGTCTGAAAATCAGGAGAATGCATGCATTGCACCTGGGTAAACTTACAAATATTTTGCCCTGTGCATCTGTTACCAGTGACTGTGTTTCATTCACAACAAAAAATACTTTTTGGTCATCCATGACAGCTGTGAATGAATTCCTTATTTAGAAGCAAATAACCTGTTTTATCCCTTCCAGGGCTGTAGACTTTACAAAGACGCTCCCCTGAAGAAATGTCTCTGCATCCTTGCAGTGAGCTTTCCTGCTTTCTGTGAAATCTAGCGAGCATCCTTCTAGTTCTGGCAGCCCGCATGCTAAGGAAAGGGACTAAGTACTCATGCAAATGGTCGCCTTCTGCAGAGCCCGTTAGGTAGATAAAACCTGCCACGAGAATTGCTGTTCAGGAGGGTAAAAAATAGTTAAATGTTGGTAATTTCTTCTGGTTCAATCTAGTATATCATATTGGACCTCTTTAAAAGTTCAAGAATGTGAAGAAAATTTGATTTTTCTTATGTTTATGGCTTAAATTTATAAACAGTACTTAAGACTAATTATCTTATTATATTACCAAGTAATAATTTTTATACTTACTAATTTCTTAGTGTATTGGAAAAAATGTGATTTTTGAGCTAGTAACACTTGCCTTGATTCCTGTCTCTACCTGTAACAAGAATGCAAATCAACTTAACTTTGATTTCTTCTTTGTCTCAGGAAACAGCTGACGATTAAAGGACCTGGTGCATATGGAAATCTTGTAACCTGTAACGGTTACATATGTGCAAGTTGGCATTACGATGTTCTGTTTTTCACTACAATTATCCTGTGAGGCATGAAACACAAGCTTTATCATTTTCTTTGGCCATATGGGGAAACAAATTCAGAAGTCAATGCCTTGCCCTCCTCAGAACCATCCTGGTGGTCTCTGACTTCACATCCCTCCATCACAGGTAGTGCTCATCTAAGAGGCAGAGTTCTGTGCAGTTCATGAAAATAATTTCCAGTTACAATAAATAACACAACTTCAATTCACCGAGTATGAGCAATGTTTCAGGTACTGTGTCAAGGGCTCTGTAACAGCCCCATGTAGTGATATCATTATTATCTCCAAGGAACTTAATGACATTTCTAAGTTCATCTACATAGTCGATGAAGGAGTTGGAACAAACCCAGTTTGAACAGGCTCTCCACCCTGCTCTGAAAGGTTCTTGATGAAAATACATATTGCCTTTGTGATCAGAAATATTACCAACAAGAAAACCCATTGCAATATTAACACAGAAGGAGCCACAGTTGGAAAACACAGTTCTAAAGCTGATGGCGAGACCACTGAGCCCCAGGTGAGTGGTCTGTGACATACCTGAGCCTGTTCCCACTGTTGCTTGTTCATGCCTCCCTCCTCCTGGGGCAGCGGCAGGGCCAGGTGGCTGGGCAGCAGACACACAGCACAGAGCAGGGCCAGCTGCATAGCTACGTCAAAAGACGATTGTTCTCAGACCTATGGTTGGTTTGATGTTTTCTGCTAGAGGCTGGAGAAATTTATAGAGCTTCCCAGCCCTGAATGTGGAAATCGGTGACTCATTTGAGTGTTTTCTTTCTTTTTAGAAAGCGTGTGTTATTTTTCATTAACAGCAATGAGGAAGTATTGTGTCCTATTGGCAAGAGGCGTGACATGGATTTATCTTTCAAAGGATTTTTTTCCCTATCTGCTGAATCCATGAGAAAACTCTTTTTATTTGCTAGGATCAAATTACTACTCACACGAGTCTTCTCAATTAAAAAAAATGGGGACATATCACTTAGGATATTAGGAGTATATATCTAAAAAGAATTTTTCTAAAAAATTTTAATGTATGGGAAAGTGCACAAATTTACAAATAATATTGTTAAGTAAGTACTGTGACAGTCACCCAAGTCAAGAAATAGAACATAGTGCCAGATATGATGGTGCATGCCTGTAATCCCAGCACAGGGAGGCAGAGGCAGCTTGAGTTACATAGTGAGACTCTGTCTAATAAAAAAGAAAATGAAAGAAAGAAAAGAATAAAGAAATAAGACAGCACCAACATCCCCTGGTTCTTTGTAGAGGAGGAAGATGGCAGAGCTGCAGATGGAAATGCTGTGTTATGGCGGTCAGTGGCCACTGTAGTCCATGCCTCATCCCCTCAGCCCCCAGGTACCTCAGCCATGCACTGAGAATTCCCTTCTTTAGGTGTCCTTTTAATCAAATTCTTTCTTTTCTTACCAGTCAACACTATCCCTAGTTTTTCTTGAATTACATGAAATAAAGCAAAACAAAAGCACAAACAAAATCTTCAAGCCTGGGCTGGTCTTGTCCGTCTGTCAGACCTTTAACATGGAAATCACTCTCTCCCATCTCTGTCTTCCCGTCACTCTGGCTCCAACTGCTGCCTAGCTACATGTGCGACTATCCAAAATAAATGTTTGTAGAATAAATGGTTTTTATAGACTTTATTCGGATCAGCTAATAATGAAGTTATATGAGACATGCAGTGATCTTTGAATTGAATTAAAACCAAAAGGCATTCTCTCAGAGAAGAAGGCCAACCAAAGACCAGGGAAATATTTGTAAAAGCTTCATCTGATGGAGGACTGTTGCCCAAAGACGCATCTGATACAGATCTATACAAAGAACTCTTACAAATCAACAGTAAGAACACCAGCAACCTGATTAAAAAGTGCACCGATGACTCCTCACTAAGGAAGATACACAAGTACCAAATAAGCATATGGAAAAGATGGTCCCCATCACGTCACCAGGGAAATGTAAACTACAACAAGGAGGTACCACGGTGTACCTATTTGAACAGCCTAAATCTAGAACACCAACACCACCAGATGCAAGATGGGCTCGTGGGAATGTAAAATGCTGCAGCTGCTTTGAAACACAGGTCAGCAGTTTCTTACCAAACTAAACACCCTCTTAGCACATAATCCAGGAATTGGATTACTTGGTATCAACCCAAAGGACATAAAAACCTATGTCCACATAAAAATCTGTACAAGCCAGGTGTGGTAGTACATGCCTGTAATCCCATGCGGGAGGTGGAGGCAGGAAGATCGAGACTGGTGAGTCAGTCTGGGCTACATAGTGAGACCCTGTTCAAAAAAACCAATAAGTAAGGATACAGGTCAGTGGCAGAGCACTTGCCTAGCATGTGTAAAGTCCTGGGTCCCTAGCACCACAAAAAACAAAACTCTACACGTTCGTTTATAGCAGCTTTACTCATAACTGTCAAAACTGGGAAGCAACCAAGATGTGTTTTAGTAGGTGAATGGATAAAGAAACTGTGGTGCATCCACACAGTGGAATATAATTCAGCATGAAAAATAAATGAGCTAACAAGCCACGAAGACATGTGGAAGCACGTTAAGTGAGTTTTACTAAGTGAACAAAGCCAATGTGAGTATTGCGTGAGTCCAGCTGCAGGATGTCAGGAAAAGACAGAATGATGGAGAGAGTTGAAAGATTCGAGGGTCGGGGGGGAGTAAGGGAGGTGAGGATGGACAGCTAGAGCTCAGGATTTCTGAGGCAGTGAAAATATAATGCGTGATATTATGATGGTGGATTCAGATCTTTACATGTATGTCCAAACCCATAAAATGTACAAGAGTGAGCCCCGTGCAGACCACAGAAGGGGAAAGAGGGAGTGGTCATTGTGGCTAGAGGCCAATGTGAGTGGTTCCAAAGCAAGTGGATCAAGTTGTTGACAGTCTGTCATGTATACCAGGGACGGCAGGCTTCATCCCATGGGGTGTGAAGGAATGTTTGAAAGGAATGAATTAGCATGATCAGATTTTCAATGCTGTGAGAAGATGCTACTGACTGTTCTAAAGTTGGCTTGAGGAGAGAGAAGTGGCTCTCTATAGAGGGATGTTAAAGGGACAGAGAGACCAACAGAAATTTATGACAGCAATGAAGGTGAGAGAAGGAAGAGGAGGTCTTTTACTAAAACTGTGACTCTAAGTGGAACAGAGGAAGGCGATCCAAGACATGTCTAGAAACTAAGATTGAGAACAAATAAAACAAAGCAAAACCTGGTTGCTGGTTGGTTTCAGGAGTGAGGAAGAAAGAATCAGAGAAGGACTGAGCCTCATGGAAGGTGCTGCTATGGTGGGGATGAGGCTCACACAAGAAGGAAGAGGGACTTGGTTGTACTTAAGCAATTGACATCAATACTGGACATTGAGTTTGAGGTTTCAGCCTGAAAGTCACATCTGGAGCTTGTGAGAGTGATCTAGTCTAAAGATACAAGTTGCGAATGACTTACTTTTTTGAGGGTGGTATTGGGCTTTGAACTCAGGGCCTCGTGCTTGCTGGGCAGGTACTCTACCACTTGAGTCATGCCCTCAGACCTTTTTTGCTTTAGTTATTTTTCAGATAGACTCTCAAACTTTTGGCTCAGGGCTTGTCTCACATCACGAGCCCCCTACCTATGCCTCCTGCAAAGCTGGAATTGCAGATATACCTAGCTTGTTGAGATGGAGTCTCACTAATTTTTTTCGCTTGGGCTGCCCTCAATCCACCATCCTCCTAATCTCTGCCTCTTAAATAGAAAAAGGGAAGAAAAATCAAACTTTATATTTTTTTGGAGGGGGTGGCATAAAATTTACTATTTTAATCATTTAAAAATGCACACCTCAGTGACATTAAGCATAGTCACAATTCTGTATAGTTGTAATAACATTCACTTGAAACTTTTTCATCATCTCAAACAGCTGTCTTCTCTCTCTCTCCAGCCCCTGGTAATATCCATTCTCCTTTCTATCTCTGTAAATCTGACTATTCATATAAGTGTAATTATGTAATAACTATTCTTTGGCATTTGGGTAACTTCTCTTCATATATTTTCAAGGGTTACTCGTGTGGGATCATATGCCAGAACTTCATTTCCTTTTGTGGATAGAAACTATCCCATTGTATGGGGGTAGCCCACTGTATCCATTCATCCTTCAATAGGCATTTGGGTGGTTTTGTATTTTAGCAATTGAGAATTATTGTGGAGTGATCATTGTACCAATATTTGTTTGAATACCTGTTCCAATTATTTTCAGTACATACTAGGAGTGGGGTTGGTGGGGGTATATGGCAAGTCTAGGCTTAACTTTTATTTTTGGTTTTTTGAAACAGGGTCTTGCTATGTTGTTCAGGCTGGCCTTGAACTTGTGATCTTCCACCTCCTGAATGCTAGCTTTAGCTTTTCTGAGATATCACCGAACTGTATTCTATAGCAATCTCACCATTTTAACATCCCTACCAGCAGTGTACCAGGATTTCAGTTGCTTTGTATCTTTGTCAACATTTTTCATTTTCTGTTTTTTAAAAATTATTATTGTGGAAAGACAGTAGGCATGAAGCAGTGTCTCACTGTGGCTTTGATTTCTATTTCCTTAATGCCTTCTGAATGAGGCTGTGTATCTTTTCAGTGTTTGTTGTACATTTGTGTATCTTTGGAGAAATGTCCGAGCACTTTACTTATATTTTCAGTTGGGTTGCCTTTTAGTTGTTGAGGTGTAGGAGTTCTAGAGTCTGTTGTATATTCTAGATGGTAACCTTTTATCAGCTGTATGATTTGCAAATATGTCCTCCCATCCTGTCAATCACCTTTCCCCTTTGTTGATAATGCCCTCTGATGTACAAGCATAACTTGTTATCTATCACATTAAAGGAGGCTCGTTCAGCCCTGATCAGCTTCCTTCTGTTACAGTAACAAAACATTTAACCTCTTTGAAATTTAGCTTCCTTCCCTGAAAAATAGGGACAGCCTTTTCTTTTTGGGTTATGGTGAGGATTAAATGAGAAGACACAGTGTATTAAAGACTGAGCAGTGTTTTTGGAGCACAGAAAGAGGTCAGTAAATGCATTGCTGTCATATTATGCTGGGAGTTTTTATTTGTTATAATATTTTTTTATGTCTATGAATTTAACACAGAGATCAGTCAAATGCAGAAGAAAAACAGATTTAAACGGTTTTATTACAATATTTTTATTGGACTGTTAATGCTAGTGTTTTCTGAGGCATAAGGAAGTCACTCTCTTAAATGCTACAATGTGTCATGCTAAAATAACAAGCCAAAGGAATCTCCTTATCATAGAATCTATTATTTTTAAACAAGGAAAGCACAAGGTCTTTATCAATTAAATCTGGGTATAAAGCATGAACAATGGACCATTGCCAGGGGGAAAACTCAGGAAGGTTGAAATGGTAAACCAGTAAATCTTAGAGTCTGCCTAGAGATGACTCATACAACTTACTTCAGATTGTGTCTAATGTTTTTTTTTTAATAAAAAAACTTTCTTTACTAAATCATTAAGAAGAAAGACAATCAAAGCATGAAAGAACTAATAACTTTTTTTGAGATGCTGTTCTAATGCAAAAAATTACTCTGAGTAATTACTCTGAGTATCTGAGAATATTTTTGACTTTCATTCAGTTACTCTGAGAG